TACATACATAGACGTATAGCTATATACATACATCTATGGGTGTCCATGTATAGCCCATATATTCGAAAATTGGAGGCGCGACTATTACTCCACTTGTTGAATGACTCGATGACGTTTTTTTTCACTTTTTCCATTACTTTATTTGCTTGGCTCGGTGCGGCTTAACTCCCCTGGCCTATGTCGTGCCATATCGAACAGCAAAACGTTGCCCAAAACCTGTAGGCTGAATCATACTAACGGTATTTATTTAACACGGCTAAATATTACGCTTGTTGTAGCGGGAGGTGCAAAGTTTAAACAAAACTGAAAATAACGCTTAGGTATAAACAATGGAAGGTGAATGCAGGAGGCAAAAACGGGGAGGTAATTGAAAATAGTAAAAGCCGATAAGACTGACTTTGAAACACCCTAATAGACAGAGAGAAAGGTATATAATGGTATATAGGGGTAGGGAGATATAGAAGTTATTTAGTTTGATTAAGTTAAGAGAAATGAAATAGTGAAATACAGATATATATATTCGTAGATCAAAGATATAGATGGATATATTTGTGTATATATGCATGTACTAATATATCTCCATTGATAAAGATAAATATATATTGTTACAGCTCGATAGATATGAATTCGTTCAAATATTACTAGTTTATTTATACACACATATGCATATACTGTTATATAATGTTTTAAATAATTGATGTACCCCTCGAAAGAGGGTATTTTTGAATAAGGCACGCTCGCATTTTTCAATTGTTTTACGATACTAAATACAATAATTGTTGTTTATCAGCAACAATGACGGACGAAACGTTATGCTGCCAGTAGTAAAAGCGACTATGTGCGTGTGTGTGTGTGTGTGTGTGTGCGGCGCCTATTCACCTTGACATGTCATAGCGGTGGGCTTATTAAATCCATTAACACTACATAACAATAACAATAACAAATAAGTAGCTAATAGCAAACACGCAAATTATAACAATTATTTATATTTGTTATTAAAAATACAAGAACAACAACAGCAATGCAAAACGAAAGTGAATTTCAAGCATTGCAAAAAGGGTAAACGCCGCAGTTAGTCCAACGAGTGCGAGCGAAACAAACACAATGTAAATGTAAATGTTATGAGCAATGCTTAAGCTTATGTTCAGTTCAGTCAAAGTTGAAATGCTCGTGCCAGAGCGAGAGCAACAGATCGTGTAGGAGTGCAGTGCAAGCATGCATGCCTGTGATTGTGTTTGTGTTTGTGTGTGGGAGTTTAAGAGAGAGAGTGAGAGTGAGAGAGCTCTGCTGGTGCTGCTGCTGCCATTTGTTTTATGCAAAGTTAAATGCTGACTAAATGCTGGCAATTAAATGTTAATGTCGCGCGCTTCTGTTACTTTTATAATTGTATACGTATGCATGTGCTCTTTCTCTCATTGTATATATGTATGTATGCATGTGTGGATTGTTTACTGTTATTGTTGCCTGCTCATTATCACTTTCGGTCTCATTGAATGCCGCCGCCGCCACAATTGAAAAACGAAATGGAAACCGTTTCTCAGCTGTTCGCATAAACAAAAAAAAAAAAATAAATAAATACGAAAAATAAAATGCAACAACAAAAATTGCAATATGCTGTTTCTGTTACTGCTTTTAATGTTTATTTAACACGCATTGCCACACGCGCTGTGGCCGTTACTATTGTTGTTGTTGTTGTTGCTGCTGCTGCTGCTATTGTTGCTGTTCTCGTTGTCGTTGTTGTTGTTGTTGTTGTGGAGGCGTGCGTCTTGCACAGTGCTGCGTGCGCTGCTTAAGGTGTTGCGACGGCCGCTTAACAAATTGCTCAACATTTCTAGCCACTGTGCACCACGGTGCAAATGCACACACACTTACCTGTATTTCAAGTTCATTATAAATAAAACGTCAATATTATTAAATTTATACAAGCAGTCGGCTGCTGTTGTTGTAGTTGTTGCACGTGTATTTCGCTGTCTGCTTTTTTCATTCCCGATATGTGTGGGTGAGTGCGTGATTGTGTGAATGTATGTGTGTGTGTGTATGCGTTAAAGCGCGCGTGTCGCATGCGTGTGCGTATGTGTGTGGGCCGAGTGTATTGAACTCTTGCTGCATTTTTTGCACAATATCTTTTTTTACTCATATGCAAGTGTCTGCATGTGTATGATGTACATACACACACACACAAGCATAGGTGAGTGTGTGCATGTATGTATTTATTACAAATATGAATGTTCGACTTTTCTGCTGGCTGCTGCTTCTTTTGTTTTTGCAATTGTGTTTTTCTTGTTTTCTTAGTGTTTTGTTTTGTTTTCTTATTTTGTTTATTATATTTTTTACGCCGTCCTAATCAGTTCTTGTCGCCGCACACAGTAGCTGCAATTTATCGGTCAACTTGCAATCGATAGCCAAACGCCGTTGCTAATCTCCTCTATCGATATGCAAATGCAGCTTTTGGAAGCTGTGCAAAGGAGATGTGCAATAGAGATAGCTTGCATTAGAGATGGGCCAGAAGATTTGCAAGAGGTGTAACAAAAATGATTATTTTAAAGTTTGTAATATTGAATTAGAATATATTTTAAACAAGAAATGAATATACATATTTAATTTTGTAATCATATATTTATATTCTTATCTAACATTTTTCGAATGTTGTTAATTTTCTTTTTGGGTACAAATTAATTATTTAAAGTGAGAATCGCCTTTTAATTCATTTGCATTTCTTGGCAGCTGACACTCATCTTCACCCTATATCTCTCCGTGTGTGTGTGTGTGTTTGTAGGGATGTCTGTATGTGTGCTTGCTGCACACCTTTTCGAGGCGGTCAACTGTGACGACAAAAAGTCAGCTCAAAACGTCTTTTACTTCCGTTTTTGATGAGTTTTTTTTTTTTTTCAAGTTTGAGGTGAAGGTTGAGGGAATCGCATTGTGGCCAACGGGCAGCAGGCACAGGGTCGGGGTCGGGGTCGGGTTCGGGGAATGGACAGAAGGGTAGGAAGGAGGGTGGGTCAGAGTGCATTCGTCTTATGATTGATCACGCACGTGTGTGCGATGGAGCTGTTAAAGCCAACGATGGCATTATCGATAGTATCGAGGATTGAAACCATCATTGGGAGTTGCCATTGTGTGGAGCATTCGACCGAAATGGGTTTACTTCACAGCATATCAGATGTATAACTTAATATGCATATGTGTATGTATGTGAGTATATAACTGATTGATGAGCTTCAGATAAACTAAGAAGATATATGTACATATGTATGTATATACCATATTATTTAATTAAAGCTGACTAATCGATTGAAGATCGGTGTATTTACAAAAAATATAAACACAAGTGTATAAGAGTTATGTATATATTTTGAGCCAGTAATATAAGCAGCTAATCAAAGAACTTAAATAACAGTATAAGATTACTCAAGTTTTGTTCAAAACTAAATTTTATTGTATGTATAATTAATAATATATTAAGAAACTGTCTCCTTAAGGGGGGCCTTAACTGTATATACATACATACATACATAGATACATAACAGTGAAGTAGCCAATGGCAACAAGATTTACTGAATTTCCAAATACACACGCTATATACACACGACACATAGCAGCAGCAAATATCTTCTGTATGTACATATGTATCTGTGTATGTGTGTATATACTCCAGAAGGAGATACACTGTACCAAGTTCTACATATAAAGCACACATTACACATTTACATAAGTGTACTAATACACAGACACAGTCACTTACAAGCACGTAGAAAGCAGTGCACGTTAGCTCCTGGTGGCTGGGCAGTACATATGCATATATGTATGTATATATGCGCGTACATATGTGCATGCTTACATGTGTGTTATATAGTGCGCGCTCGCTCTAGCACACACGCACCCACAGCACACGCAAACAGCATGCGTGCACACACACACACACACACACACTAATAAACCAAGTGTAATCCTATTTGCGTCCAAAAATAAAATGGAATGAAAGAAAAATCCAACAAAGAAGCGGCAAAGCTGCTGCTGCTGACGCCGCTGCCGCCACTGCTGCTGCTGCTATTCATGTTGTGCTGCTGCTTCTGCTTCCTTTGCGCTAAAGATTTAGCTGCTCGTTAAATCGACGACGACAACGACGACGACGACGACTACGACGACAGCGCCGTCAGCGCCAACTGAGCAACTCTGCAGTTTTATCTAACCAATACCAATGCCAGTTCATCCACCAACACACAGCAGCAGCAGCCACAGTTTCAGCCGCAGCCGCAGCCCGCAGCGAGCACAGCTCTCACACTCACACACACACACACACACATGTACGCAACTCTGAACAGAGGCAGAGGCAGCCATTGCGTTCTCTCTCACTGCCATCGTCGGAGTCAGCTGCTGCTGCGCTGCTGCCTCTGTCGCTGCTCTGACGCTGGCTCTTTGCGCTGCTCTGCGCTTTTATAAATACAATTTTATAGATGCGTTCAAATACAATTCAGAAGTCGAACCGAAAAGACGTCTTGAATTTGTTATTTAATTTTATATACACATACATACATTTTTTTTTCTACTGTTACTGCTTCTTCATACACTTCTTCGAGTAACTCGTCTGCATTCTTCTCAGTGCAGACACACACACACACAGAGACAGACAGAGAGCGTGAGCGAGCGAGAGAGAGCAGCACAGACACGCACAGACATTAGATAAAGCTGCCAGCGAGGCTCTGCTGAACGGTTGCGCCGCGGATGTGGTCAGAACTCGTGTGCGCGTCAACGTGAAAGCATCTGCCGGCGCGCTACGACAACATAACGGGATATAGCAAAGCATTAACTAAATAAAGAGCAGTGATACAAAACGACAAAAATAAGAAGGAAAACATTTCATTCAATTAAATTAAATTATTTTATTTTATTTTACTTTTTTTTTTTAACTAAAATTAAACCAAAGAAACGTGCTACAAATGAATTATTTTTAATTACAATTATTGAGTGCAACGAAAAAAAAAAAAAAAGAATTCAACATAAAAAATAAAAACAAATAAGCAAACGTGAAACCTAGTGAAAAACATAAACCAAAAACAAACGAAAAACTAACAAGAAAACAGTTTATGAATCAAAAATAAACAAATTTCGAATGCCGCCGCCAAATTGTTCAAAAAACCAAAACAAAACAAAGGTAACAAATTGTTAACTACAAAAATTAAAAAAAAAATAAAATAAAAATTGCTGAAATTTTGTAAGCACACTTTTTTTTCTTGTGGCAATTTTCAAGTGTGAAAAGTGTGAAAAGCATTTATCCTGGATTACAAACTATATACATATATATATACCTTGGATTATAGACAAATTATTTTTACCTAGATTTGACATCAGACTTATTCGTTATTTTTCATATTTATTTTATTTGATTTTGTATTTGTTCTGTCTCATATTTTAATAGGTTTCCCATCTAAATAGCTTATCCTGATTTCAATAGAATTTATAAAAAATTTGAATTGAATTCAGATTTCTTCAGTTATTAATTTAAATATACATTTTTGTATTTTTGAACTATTCCAAAAATCTGTTGAAAATTTCATTGATAAACTTTGAAGACTAAAAACCAGGAAATATTTAAATAAATATTGGAATAAAGTAATGTTTCCAGAGTCGCGCCTAGGTTCTATATGAATTAGTTTTCCTAATTCCATAATATTACAGCCTCTCCAAAATATACGCACAACTTCATTCAGCTTGAGCTAAGCCAAAATGTAACAAAATGGATTGTTTGCCATCGATAATTATCGATTTTGTAATCAAGTCTCCAAAATATAAGCTAATTATCTTCTCCTCGAAGTCCATTTAATCTAGTTGCTGAGTTAATATATATATCTTTAGATTTAATCGTTGAATTGATTGGCCAAGTCTCTAAATTCTACACACAAATCTCTCCGCTTTCAGTTGAAACTAGTCCTTAAAGTCTCCTACTATATTTGTAGAGATTTCATCAATATCCACTTACTGCCAAAGTCTCCAAAATCTCTGCATATCTAACTGGAATACTTGTTTGATTAGTTAAGTCTCCATGTAATTCAAATTTCACCATTTCATTCACTTTGCCTCTGAAGTCTCCAAAAAATATGAAATTATTTCTTCAGCTCCAACTGTCGGAGAGAGCCACAAACGACACAAACAGGGAAAGAGAGAGAGAGAGAGAGAGAGTGAGATTGATTGAGGGCGAAAGAGTGTTGGCAGGGGAGGGGGCGGCTAGGGGCGTGCCTTTATCTCTAATGATTTAGCATGCCGCTGAGTCACAAGCGAAATCGTATTCGAAATCGACCAACCAAAATCGAAGACCAAAGCCTAACAACAAAAAATAACCAACAATAACAGAAGCAACAACAACAACAAATAAACAACAAATCGTTATCGCTTTAAAGTTTTCTTTCAAAAAATTGTCAAATTGTTGTTGTTGCTGTTGCTGTTGCTGTTGCTGCTGCTGCTGTTGTTGAATCGTTGCTCGCCGCCCATTGGAAATCCTAAGCATGGGCAGCAAAGCCAATTGATAACGGTAAATGTTAATGGGGAAATATGAACAGCGAATGGAAATGCAACAAATACAAAACGCAAAGCGCACGAACCGATAACAAATCAATACACAGCGTGAGCGAGACAAACAAAGAGTGAGTGAGTGGGCGAGGGAGAGGGAGAGCGCGTGCATATTAGAGATGAGAGCAGCCCCATTCTCCCCACTCTCCCACTCTCCCACACTCCCCCGCTCTACTTTCTGTCGAAATGCATCCGTTTACATTTGCCAGCTGCAAGCAGCTAAGGAAAATGAAACTGAAATTGCATTGCAAACTGTTTTGCCAACGTCTCAGTTAACCAATTCACCGTAACTCCACCCCACTCCAGCCCCATCAATCGTTTAATCAGCTGTTCGGCTGAAATTGAGACACAATCTGTGCCCAGATTTCCAACTGCATTGAACGGGTAATCCAATCCAATGCCTTGTGCACTTGTGTCTAACTCTGACTTTCCAACTGCCACGAATCCAATAAGATCTTGAGCAATGGCCAACCAAGCACACATTTCAGCGCAGTTCCTACAGGAAATTCAAATGAAGAAAGCAACGGGCTGGACTTGAGCTGAATGTAGAAGCTGAAATGAGAGCTGAACTTATTTCCTAAAACAAGATAGCGCTGATAACTGTAGTTATATCTATATCATGTTAGGGCTCGTGTCAGTTCCTTCCTGGGGGAGCATGGATAAACTCTCATTTATGTTAACGCCAAAGCTCATGATAAAGCATTGATTAGGCTTGGATGCAAGCTAAAGGCAATCTCCATATTGAGGCCCTGGACAAAGCTAGTGTTAACAGTTCGCCCTTAATGTGTTGAGAATCTTCTAGATTAGCCTCATGTAAAAGCGTACGAGCTTACAGCATGCGTTAACAGAAGATTTAACAGAGCACTCTGAATGAATTGATGTAACTCTAGTCGAGCTGTCATGTTAAGCCTTCTGTTAAGCCTTCTGTGAAGCCTTCTGTTAAGCCTTCTGTTAAGCATAAGCTGTAAGAGAGGTAAACAAGGCATTTCTATAGTCATATTGGCTCTCATTATTATCCATGGCAACTTCGAATGGGCCTCAAGGCAAGGCTCTTGTGAATGCCTTGATTTGCTCAGCTTTATCAGCTATGTCAAAGACAGGGGAAAGCTACAGTTGAAAGCAACAAATGTCAAGGCCAGTGTTGATTAACCCCGCTCGAATGTCTTTCTCTTTGCAGCAGCTAATCACAGCAGACAAGCAGCAGCCGTTTACGATCTCAATTAGCCAACTTTTGCAACGACAGCAGCAGCGAAAATGCTGGCCACACAGCAGCAACAGCAGCAACAGCCACAACAGCAACATGCAGCAGCAACAGCAGCGGCAGCAGCATTGACGCTTGAAGATGCGGTTATGGAGCGACAGCGTCGCGACTCCAGCACCTCGGAGTCATCGCTGGAGCACCTGGATCTGGGTCGCACGCCAAAGAAGCTGAGCAGCAACAGCGGCGCGCTGCAGCCGACGTCCACGCCGAACGTTGAAGCGTCCTCGCGGAAGCGCAAGATGCGACAGCAGCAGCAGCAGCAGCAGCAGCCATTCTTGTATTCTGACGAGGAGGACGAACAGCAGCAGCAACAGCAACAGCAGCAACAGCAGCAGCAGCAACAGTTGCTGGAGCAGTCGGTGCATCGCATTCGCCACAAGCAGCGCCGCAGCGGCAATGCAGCCGCGGCCGCGGCCGCTGCCAGCGCCAGCATCGTCGTCGACTACAGCGTCGGCAGCGATGCCAGTTCGCTGCGCAAAAAGTTTCGACTGAATCGCAGCAGCATCAGCGCCCACAACGGCGACCTATCCGAGTCGGGCTTCGTCGATGGCAGCGCGCACAGCGGCTATTTGCTTAGCGCCAGCGCCGCAGCGCAGTCGGCGACGGGCGCGCAGCAGCAGCAGCAACAGCAGCAGCAGCAGCCGGGCTCGGGCAGCAGCTCGGGCGGCTCCTCGCCGCAGGGCCTGTGCCATTCGAGCGCCGAGTCCGGCATCAGCGCCGGCGACGAGCACATGAAATATGTCTGCCCCATCTGCGAGGTCGTCTCGGCCACGCCCCACGAGTTCACCAATCACATTCGATGCCACAACTATGCCAACGGCGACACCGAGAACTTCACCTGCCGCATCTGCTCCAAGGTAAGTGCAGTTTACAGGGTATACATACATATTCTATGAGTCGTATAAAACAGAGAGCAGTACAGGGTATTCCATTGACTACCCCTGCTTGAAAGTCAGTTAGTTACAGGGTATCAGCGAAAGTAGAAGGAATTTAATTATACGATATATAATGTTGAGTTAGTTCTATATAAAAAATATGCAAATACAGGGTATCTAAATAACAGAAAACAACTATAATGCAAATTACACGTTAAACCATATTAAGGGGTATATAAATTATTATCAACTTGCAATATATATTCTTAATTCTCGGTCAATTAAAGGGTATACTACATTACAGGGTATCTGAAAACCATATTTAAACAATTATAGGGCATATATAAATATAGATTATATGCAAACTAAAGTTATCAATAACAAATTACAGTTATTCTGAGTACAGTTATTTGAGTATTTAGCGAATTACAGGGCATGCTACACCATACCCTGCTTATAATATAAGTTAACTTGGCAATTAACATGTGTTAAGGAACTGTAAACCATAAATATTAGCCAATTACAGGGTATACCGTACGACAGGCTAACCAAAAACTCGAATTTAATCTGACTTTTTGAGCTACTATACACTCTATGCTAGTTATACTGCCAGCAAATGGCTCAATAGGGAATCTTGCATATTATAGGGTATCTACGAGTCGTATATCGCCTATGGGGGATCTACATACGTAACAATAAACTGCATACAAACTATATACGAAATGTTGCAAGTCAATTGCAGGGTATGTCACATAGTTAGCATTACAGGGTATTTCGTGCGTCGACTAAGCTAGAAGACTAGCTTCAGTCCCCAATCAAATTTGTTTGCTTGACTTTTGGCTAATTGTTCTCTTGACTAACCCTATTTTCAACCCCTTTTCTCTCCCTTCTTCACTCTCTCTCTCTCTCTCTCTGTCTTTCCCCTCTGTTATAGGTACTCTCGTCAGCCTCCTCGCTGGACAGACACGTCCTGGTGCACACCGGGGAGCGGCCCTTCAACTGTCGCTACTGCCAGTTGACCTTCACGACAAATGGCAACATGCATCGGCACATGCGAACACACAAGCAACATCAGCAACATCAGCAGCAGCAGCAGCAGCAACAGCAGCAGCAACAACAGCAACAGCAGCCACAGCAGCAGCAACAGCAACAGCAGCAGCAGGCACAGCAGCAACAGTTGCAGCGACATCAGCAACATGCGGCAGCCAATCAGCGTGCCGAGAGCTATGAAAGCGATGCCAGTTGCTCCACGGATATATCCAGCAGCAGCAGCAGTGCAGCCAGCAACAACAATAACAACAACAACAACAGTAGCCAAGCGAACAACAACAACAACATTGAGGAACAGCGACTGAAGCTAAAGACAAACATCAACAACAACAACATCATTGTGAGCGACGAGCGAGCGCTGGAGGCAGACGCCGATGGCGATGGGTCTGGGCATGGAGAGGAGGCCGGGGCCGATGGGGAGAGCGTGGATGTGACACAGATGATAACGAGCACGCCCGATGTGGCCACATTGCTGGCAACGTCGTCGGGCAACAGCAGCCCCCAGACGCTGGAGCACGAGCTGGAGACGCTGCACAGCTGCCCCGCCTGCGATGCCGGCGAGTTTGAGACGCGAGGCGCACTGTACGCCCACTTGGAGGCGGAGCACGCCGATATACCCGCCAAGTGTCGCGAGTGCGAGGTGATCTTTGCCACGCAGCGTCAGCTGCAGGCGCACAGCTGTCGGGGATTGCAGTTGCCGCCGCTGCTGGGCGCCAGCTCGTCGCCGCTGCACAAGCAGGAGCCGGCTGAGCTGGAGGAGGAGAACGAGTATGATGAAGAGCAGCAGCAGCAGCAGCACCAGCAGCAGGTGCGCCTGCACCACCAGCATCAGCAGCGCGAGGGTGAGCCAACGGCCGAGGAGGAGGAGGAGGAGATGCGACTGCAGGCGAACAGCGAGCGGGACGAGTTCTTTCAGCAGCTGTACCTCAAGGGCAAGTCGAGCGGCTCCTCGCTGCCGTCACCCATCAAGCACGAGCCGTCGGAGCAGCGCCAGGATCTGGCCGACATACAGAGCATCCTGCACATGACCAGCTCCAGCTGCACGTCCAGTTTCCTGCGCAACTTCGAGCAGAACGTGAACACGCCCTGCTCCAGCCAGTACAGCGTGGATGGGCGCGACGGCGAGGAGGAGGCCCAGGACGCCTTCACCAGCGAATTCCGGCGGATGAAGCTGCGCGGCGAATTCCCCTGCAAACTCTGCACCGCCGTCTTTCCCAATCTGCGCGCCCTCAAGGGCCACAATCGCGTCCATCTGGCGGCCGTCGGCGCCGCCGGCCCCTTCCGCTGCAACATGTGCCCCTACGCCGTCTGCGACAAGGCGGCTCTGGTGCGGCACATGCGCACCCACAACGGCGACCGGCCGTACGAGTGCGCCGTCTGCAACTACGCCTTCACCACGAAGGCCAACTGCGAGCGCCACCTGCGCAATCGGCACGGCAAGACCAGCCGCGACGAGGTGAAGCGCGCGATCGTCTATCACCCGGCCGAGGATGCCAGCTGCGAGGACATCAAGCCCAAGATGGATCCCGATCTGTCGGAGCTCAGCTTTCGCTCGCTCAGTCCGTCGCCGTCGACGACCAATGTGGAGGCCAGCTCCCAGCTGAAGCACATGTTGCTGGCAGAGCAGCCCACCAAGCAGCAGCAGCAACAGCAGCAGCAACAACAGCAGCAGCAGCAGCAGCAACCGTCGCAGCCTCCGTTAAAGATTCAAGTGAAGAGCTTGGATCAGCTGGTGGAGAAGCCGCTGGCACCTGCCATGGATCTCAGCATGGATGTGCTGGATCTCAGCAAGAAGCCGCAACGCGAACATGACTTGCTCGTGCAACAGCAGCAGCAGCAGCAGCAACAACAGCAGCAACAGCAGCAGCAGCAGCAACAGTTGCTCTTCAATCCGGGCGATGCGGCGACGCAGTATATGCAGCTGCTGCGCAATCTGATGCTGCAGCAGTCGCCCGGCTTTCCGTTCTTCGGGCTGATGGCGCCACCGCCAGCTGCTGCGCTGGAGAAGTCAGCGCCAGCGATGGCAGTGCCAGCGGCGCCGGCAACAGTTGCTGCCGTGCCGCAGCCCTTGGGGCTGCCCCTGCCCGGCATGGGTGTGCCGGTGCCAGCGGCCGGGCCTGTCAAGATGGTCATCAAGAACGGCGTGCTGATGCCCAAGCAGAAGCAGCGCCGCTACCGCACCGAGCGCCCCTTCGCCTGCGAGCACTGCTCGGCCAGGTTCACGCTGCGCTCGAACATGGAGCGCCATGTCAAGCAGCAGCATCCGCAGTTCTATGCGCAGCGACAGCGCAGCGGGCACCACGTGATGCGCGGTCGGGCGGCCAACTCGGGCGCGGCGCAGGCAGCAGCAGCCGCAGCAGCAGCGGCGGCAGCGGCAGCAGCAGCCGCCGCAGCCATGACAAATCTGCACCAGCAGCAGCAGCAGCAGCAGCAGCAACAGCAGCAGCAACATCCGCCCATATCGGAGCAGGTGAAATACGCGATCCTGGCGCAGCAGCTGGCGCGCAAGGATACGGACTTGCTGCAGCAGGCGCTGGCCCATGGCTCCAGCAGCGTCGCCGTCAATCCCTTGCTGCACTTTGGCTACAACAACAACAGCAGCAGCAGCAGCAACGGCAACGGCGGCAGCAGCAGCAGCAATGCCAACGGCAGCAATCAGACGCAGCAGCAGCAACAGTTGCCCGTGGACGATGATGAGCCGCCCAAGCTGATCATAGACGAGGACGATGATGATGATTTCGAGGACATCGACGAGGAGGAGGAGGAGGAGGAAGACGAAGAGCTAGACCAAGACGAACAGCAGCAGCAGCCGCTGCAGGAGGAGCAGCAACACGAGCAGCAGCAGCAGCAGCGTGTGGAGCAAGTGCAGCCAATCGAAATTGATGCCAAAGAGGAGCCAGAGCCGCACGCCGAGTCGGCCGCGTCGGCCGCGTCGACCGCGTCGAAGCCCAGTGGCGAGCCGAGCACAATGAAGACAATGATCGCCCAGGCCGAGTCGGTGGCCAAGTCCCTGAAGGAGGTGGCCAGCTCGCCGTTCAAGGATGAATCTCAGGATCTGGTGCCGGTAGCGAAGCTGGTGGACAATGCCACCAGCAATCAGGTGTCGTTCAACAGCTACTTCCGGCCCAGCGACGTGGCCAACCACATGGAGCAGAGCGACGAGGAGGGCCTGGTCGCCTCCGGCAGCGCCAGCGAGAGCAACAACTCCGGCACCGAGGACGTCACCAGCAGCAGCAGCTGCAGCGAGCCGAAGAAGAAGTCCGCCTACAGCCTGGCCCCCAATCGCGTCAGCTGCCCGTACTGCCAGCGCATGTTCCCCTGGAGCAGCTCGCTGCGCCGCCACATTCTCACCCACACGGGCCAGAAGCCGTTCAAGTGCTCCCACTGCCCGCTGCTGTTCACCACCAAGAGCAACTGCGACCGGCATCTGCTGCGCAAGCACGGCAACGTCGAGTCCGCCATGTCCGTCTACGTGCCCACCGAGGACGTCAGCGAGCCGATACCGGTGCCCAAGTCCGTCGAGGAGATCGAGCTGGAGGAGCAGCGCCGTCGCAAGGCCGCCGAGCAGGAGCGCCAGCTGGAGCTGGAGCGCGAGCGGGAGCGCGAACGCGAACTGGAGCGGGAGCGTGAGCTGGAGCGCGAGCGCAAGCAGCAGCAGCTCATCCAGCAGCTGACAGCGGCGGCCCAGCTCAGCCAGCAGATGGTGGCCGCGGCTCAGGCCGCTCAGGTCGCTGCCGCCGCCGCAGCCACCAGCGGCGCCAGCAGCGGCGCTGCCGCCGCCGAGGGCAATGGCAGCGAGCTGCCGTACAAGTGCCACCTGTGCGAGTATTCGTTCGGCGAGCGGATGCAGTGCCTGGACCACATCAAGCAGCAGCACGCCCAGGAGTTTGCTCTGCTCCTGGCCAAGGGCGCCATCGAGACGGAGCAGGAGGTGGCAGCAGCGGCTGTGGCTACAGCAGCGACTGCTGCCTCTGCCGCCGTCTCGGAGGACGAGTCCAGCACCGGCCGTAGCGCTGGCAAATATCCGGACTACAGCAACCGCAAGGTGATCTGCGCCTTCTGCGTGCGCCGCTTCTGGTCCACGGAGGATCTGCGCCGTCACATGCGCACCCACTCCGGCGAGCGTCCGTTCCAGTGCGACATCTGCATGCGCAAGTTCACGCTGAAGCACAGCATGCTGCGGCACATGAAGAAGCACAGTGGACATAGCCACAATGGCGAGACGGGCGCCTCCGATTGCTCCGACGATGAGCAAATGGCCACGCCGCCCACAACACCAACGCCCACGGTCATGCCCATGCCAATGCCCAGCAACAACAACAATAACAACACTTGCCACAACAACAACAACACCAACAATAACAACAACAACAACAACAACAACAAGGGCGTACGTCTACCCAAGCTGCACGAGCTGCTGGACAAGGCGAACGAATGGCGCGTCAGTCGCCTGGGCGAGCACAAGGAGAACATTGCCGAATCCTCAGCGGCCACAACAGCAGCCGCTGTGGGCGTGGCCAGCGGTGATTTCCTCGGCAATCTGCTGGGCATCACCGACCAGGGCATACTCAACAAGCTGCTCAGCTCGCCCGACGAGGCGGCCAAACTGCTGGGCGTCGAGAAGTGAGGGGCGAAGCTCGAAGCTCGATAAAGGCAAAAGGTCCACGAGGACCAACAAGGCCAACAAAGACGTAAGGATCGCATAGACCAAAAGTGAAGTTCACAACAACAAACAAAAAAAAAAACACAAACAAGTTGAAAGGGAGTTAGGGCAAAAAAAAAGCCTCTAAGCCAGCTCAGTAGTCCTAGTCTAGTAACAAAAAAAAAAAAACAACAAAAAAAAAACAAAAAAAAAAACTAAACCTGATATAAGCAACACTAACTTAGACAAGATATTCACATCTATACATACATATGTGTTTATCTATATATATCTGAGTTTGATATGAAAAAATTTGCAAAAAAAAAAAAGATTTAATTTTGAAAAATTCAAAATTAAATTTTTTTTAAATTTCTATTCAAAAACAATAAAAAAATTGCATAAATATTTCAAATCAAACTCACATATATATGCACACACACATACACATATATAATATATATATTTATGTATTTAAAAATACAGCGAATTTTGAACTGTAAGCGAGAGAGAGAGAGAGAAAGAGAGAGAGAGTTATGCACCTCTCGCCCTACATATACCAAAGCCTAAATAGTTCGTTTTTTTTTTTGTCTTATTCTTATCAGCTAAAGAACACTTTTTTTTCATAGTCTCTAAGTTGTCTAACGGTACAACCGTTGAGCGTAACGTCTGGCAACACTGCGCAGGGTCAAGCTAGCGCCACAATTAATCAAAAAGTTAATGCAAAAATAAAACAATTTTTTTTTTACATATACATATTCGTAATATATTTAAACTTAGAACACAGTGCTTAAAAAAGACTTGAAAAAAACCTATAAAAAATTCCTAAAAAAATGAGAAAAAAATTCGAAAAAAAATTAAAAAAAAAATATATTTAGCTGTATATGAAATTTGCCTACGTAGTGCTCTTCTTCTACTTAAATATAGCTATAGCTATATACATACACATACCTAATATTATACAACAGATTTATCATGTACATTTCTGAGGCCTTCAACCGCAGCGTGGCTTAAATTAAATATTTAAAATAAACAAAACAAAATGCTCTTCAAAGCATTCTATATTAACTATTACAATTCTAGTCTTAAGAGCTATTTTTTTTTTATTATCATTATTATTATTATATAAAAATATTTAACATATACATATTTTACTATACAAAGATGAACTCAGCAAAGAAACGAAATATATTGAAAACAATTTTTTTGGAGCTAATTAAAAAAATTTGTATGCATAAAAAGTAAATAAAATAAATAAATAATGTGCTATATATAGCAGATATACATATATACAGATATATTTAAATATATTTATATGAAGTAGTCGAAACATTTTACAGCAATAACCAAAGCATTTCAACACGAGTTTTCTAACTATTTTATGAAGGAGAAACAACAAAACAAAAACAACAATAATAACAACAACAACAAATTATTGAACAAATTAAATTATGTACTTAGCGGTTAGCGTACTTAACTAAATTAATTAACTATTTACGTCTTAATTGATATGACAATGCAAAAACAAATAAAAGTTGCGAACAAAAATAAAAACACCTATTTTTTAATTCATTTTCAACTATTAAGTTTAGGAAGAAATTAAAAAACAAATATAGCTGAGGACCTGCTCGAAGACAAAGTTTTATAAGCTAAATCATAAATAGCCAATATACAAACCAGTTTGAGCCGCAGTCAAGACTTACACCAGTTTCAAAAGGAAAACATAGACACAGCCATACAAACCAGTTTGAGCCGCAGTCAAGACTTACACCAGTTTCAAAAAGAAAACATAGACACAGACATTCATATGCTCAAACCAAATGCTTGGTTTCACACAGTACATTCGAATTGGGCGTTCGACTTTGATAAATGATCAGACCAAGCCATGACTTGAACCAGCTTCAGAATGTAGTCATTTTCAATCGAATGCTTATAGGGGCATTGATTTGGTCTGGGTTTGAAACTTTGTTAACTGAACAAACAAGTTTTGAGCCAAAGATTGAACCAAAGTAAATAAGCACGTTTTCGTACCAAATGACCAATGCATAGACTCGCCCTGGAATTGAAACTTTATTAGATGATCAATTTAGTTTTAAGCTGCAGCAAAGACTCAAACAAGCAGACTCCTACTTTAGGAGCGAATTCGAATCGGATTTGAGACTTTATAAATAAACGTGCGCTCAAAAGTATACTTCGTTAATTCACATTAATAAAGCAGCTTCCTTATTAGTGCAGCCCAAAAATATGCCAATGTATTAATTCAGGTTTGCTTAACTCAAGTACATACATATTAATCACACCTAAGCATGTTTACTTATTAACTTATTATAAAAGGTGTCAGGTTTTATAAGTGCATTTTGTATGGCGTGTATGTGTGACCAACAGTATGTGCACATACACATGCAACTAATTGTGCACATACACATGCAAGCAATTGAAGACTTGCGTACGTAGGTAATTTTTCTGCACGTGCGAGCAATCATAAATAAATCTATACATACATATGTACATATACGTATGTGTATGTATGTATATATTTTACACGCAAAGAATTATTAATATATAAATTTACATGTACATATGTGTATATGTATATACATACATACATATGTGCTGGTTAAGCGCCTGTGCGTGTGTCTCAAACGTCGCAAAAAAAACGCAAAACAAACTTACAAACACATACACATACAAATACTATCGAGCCCCCAACGAACTAGAATAAAAACAATAATAACAACAACAGCTCTTTCAAGTTCTTGGCTACACACGCACACACACACACCCCCACATATTAGCACACAGCAGAGTGTACGTGTGCTCGTCTAATAAAGTGGTTCGACCAACCGACCGTTCGCCGGCTTCGTCCGCTGCCGTCGCGTCGCGTCGCGTCGTATATCAACAATCACACCACACACGCGCGCGATGGGGCCGCAACTTGGCACAGCCTCAGCTTTTGGTTTTGCTTTTGCTTTCAGTTCAGTTCTAGTGAGACCATTGGTTGGGCCAGCCGCAGTAGCAACCGCAGCAGCAGCAGCAACACACGCGTTTCCAGCCGGAGCTTCCATTATCCAGAATCCCTGACCTAACATTTCCATCACCTGTGGCAAGATGTCCTTTGTGCGTCTAATTGGTGCTGAGGTAAGTAATTCTATTTGCATATGCTACCAACAACTATCGATAACAAGTGCGCAGTGTTGGGTAGCCTGGGACGGGAGGGGGCGTTGAGCACTTGCAAGTGCACTGGCAAGTGGGCGTGTATATGTGTGCATGTGTGTTCAGTGCCTTGCATGTGCATGCAAATTAAAGCACGCGTACTTGCCTGTGTAAATGTGTGTGCGCTCATAAATTTGTCCACATTAAACGGTAAAACGTGAAAAAAAGAACAGACTATTTGATAGCGCAAACACATGTTACGTAATTTTAGTTTGCTGCGATTCAGATAATGCGACGATCACAATAACGCCAGAACGGACACAAACGCGCATACACACACACACACACACACATTTTTCGTATGTATGTATGTGCGTAATAGAATTGTATTTTAATTAGACGTTAAGCCATATAAATAAATGCCTATCAAACGGGCGGCTGCTGCCACTGATAAGCAAAGGCGTGGCTTTTATCCCTTATGTATGTACATATACATATACATATGTATGTATGTTTGTATGTGTATATGTGTGTGTGTGTGTGTGTGTGTGTGTGTCTGTCCGTGTATTTGTATTATCATGTTGCCAGGCAAAGCCATTCTCACCTGTTGAATTTAAAGTATTGCAGTAAAACACTTGCAAGATATGCACATACATATATACATACATATGTATATATACACATATACACAGTGAAGCCTGGCCCAAGTTGGCCAACGAGCGCAGGCGCGTTTGCCTTTTACGCAACTTTACTGTTTTGATGCAATTGTGGAAAAGTTGTCAATGGAGCTTTTTTTCGAATGGAAAAAAGGATGCCACATGTCAAAATAATATTGTACCTACATTTGCAACGAAAAGTACCAAATTATTGTTATTGATATTTATAATTTACAATTTGGTATATGATGTCCTTGAAATTGTTGGGAAACATAATTAAATTATTATGTCATCCAAAATCAATTTGGAAAAAAACCAAAGTCAATTTGCTTTCTCCATAGGGCAAAAGTTTCTTGTGGGCATTCCAATTTGCATATTCATTCAAGTACACTGAGAATTTTGTAGGCAAATTTTTATATAATGCAGAGAACAAATACGAATTTATTTGTATAAAGAATTAACCATGAGATAAATTTTAAGTACAGTCGTTAAGCATGTGGGAGACGTGGCACGTAGCGCCTAGCAATTAAAAAATTATTTGTATATATGTAAGTAAAAGATTTTTCCTAAACAAGTGCATATCTAATGACAAAAATACTAAGGAATGTCAATCCTTAATGTCCTTTGAACATGCGGCCCACATGTAACGTTAAATTGTACCGTTAAAAGGGATATTGAATGGACACACTTGTTGCACATGTGGACTGCTCTTGTGCAGGAAGTGTACCATTGAGGTACTTTTCCATTTGGTAGATGTGGCAACCTTTAGCAAAGAGATTCAAATATCACTTCAATCGACTTATCGATAACATTAAAATGCTAAATTAAATTAAATTGTACTTTTGCAGGCACGTTTGATCGCCAGGCGTAGCTACTCGTCGTCTGCCCCCACAACCAAGCTGTTCATCGATGGCAAGTTTGTGGAGTCAAAGACCAATGATTGGATCGATGTGAAAGATCCGGCCACCGACCAGGTGGTGACCCGTGTGCCCAAGGCGACGGCTGAGGAAATGAAGACCGCTCTGGAATCCAACAAGCGCGCCTTCAAGTCGTGGAGCAACACGTCTGTTGTGTCACGTCAGCAGGTCATGTTCAAGCTGCAGGCTTTGATCAAGGCCAATATGGGTGAGCTGGCAAAGAACATCACCAAGGAGCAGGGCAAGACTCTGGTCGATGCCGAGGGTGATGTGCTCCGTGGTCTCCAGGTCGTGGAGCACTGCTGCAGCATTCCCTCGCTGCAGATGGGTGAGACGGTGGCGAATGTTGCTCGCGACATGGACACCTATTCGCTGGTCATGCCACTCGGCGTCACCGCCGGCATTGCCCCGTTCAATTTCCCAGCTATGATCCCCTTGTGGATGTTCCCCGTGGCCATTACCACCGGCAACACCATGCTGTTGAAGCCCTCCGAGCGTGTGCCCGGTGCCACCATGTTGCTGATGGAACTGCTCAACGAAGCCGGCTGCCCACCCGGTGTGGTCAACGTCATCCACGGCCAGCACGACGCAGTCAACTTCATTTGCGACGCACCCGAGATTAAGGCCGTCTCCTTTGTTGGCTCCGACACGGCCGGCAAGTACATCTACGAGCGCGCCGGCAGGAATGGCAAGCGTGTCCAGAGCAACATGGGCGCCAAGAACCACGGCGTTGTGCTGAGCGATGCTAACAAGGAGAACACTCTCAACCAGCTGGCTGGTGCCGCCTTTGGCGCTGCCGGACAGCGTTGCATGGCCCTGTCGACGGCCGTGTTTGTGGGCGAAGCCCAGAAATGGATCCCCGACCTGGTTGAGCGCGCAAAGAAACTGAAGGTTAACGCTGGCCATGTTCCCGGCACCGATGTGGGACCCGTCATCAGTGAGGCTTCTCGCAAGCGCATCAACGATCTGATCGAATCGGGCGTGAAGGAGGGCGCCAAGCTGATCCTTGACGGCAGGAAGATCACCGTGCCCGGCTATGAGAAGGGCTACTTCGTAGGCCCCACCATTTTGACCGATGTCAAGCCAAACATGCAGTGCTACACCGAGGAGATCTTTGGCCCCGTCCTGGTTATCCTCAATGCCGACACCCTGGACGAAGCCATCTCAATTGTGAATGCCAATCCCTACGGCAATGGCACCGCCGTCTTCACCACCAACGGTGCTGCTGCACGCAAGTTCGTCAACGAGATCGATGCCGGCCAGGTGGGCGTCAATGTGCCCATCCCCGTGCCCTTGCCCATGTTCTCCTTCACCGGCACACGCGGCTCCTTCCGCGGCGATCATCACTTCTATGGCAAGCAGGGTATCAAGTTCTACACACAGACAAAGACAGTTACCCAGCTGTGGCGCGAGACAGATGTCAACCACACCCAGGCGGCCGTGGCCATGCCCACCATGAAGTAGACACCCACACACCCCCACACATACAAAAACCACACAGACACCCACACACATGCACTCGTGTGGCGTGAGCTGTGGAAAGGAATTGCTGCATTTATTTTCTGTGCCTGTTAATTAGAGTTAAGCTAAATGTAAAATTGTAAAAACAAGATTTGTAAAAACTAAATAAAATGTTTAAAAACAAAAATAACACCACAAACTCTTTTGATCAAACGTGCAAACATAGTGGCAACGCCGCATTTTATTTACAGTCGAAGCATCGAAAAAGATAGGAGTGCTTCTTAATGGTGGGATAATTAAAAAATCAAATATCAACGTATGTCTGGTTGTGTAAAAAATACACTTCCCAATTGTTTGCCAAACATAAATATCAACTTATAGTTTTATTGCCAACTTTAAATAGATTGTGATGCAATTCTCTGTTAGCAGATTCAATTTTAAGAGAGTTGGCAACGCTTCATCTTGCCGCGTAATTTGAAATACTCAGAATGTTTACGGCATACGTTTTATTCAATGTATACATTGTCCATTTATTTACTTAATATAAATTAACTATAACATTTAGAATTTGCTCGTTACAACATTCGTCTAGAATTATTAACCATAGTTTGAACCGAGTCTACCTTTAATAACACCTATCAATTAATATAGTTCACGCTCTTTGTAAAAATAATAACAATGCTTTGTAAATTTGTCTTGTCTAAGATATATACAACTCTTTGTGTATATATGTCTATGAACACCTGATGTAGCTTTCGCGCTCCAATATCAACTACTTGCCACCAAACGCTTGCTTGGATACCAGCTCCCTGAACACGCCATTTGTCCTGCCCATCAGCTCGTGAAAGGTGCCCTCCTCCACAATGCGCCCTTCATCAATGACAGCTATTTTGTGCGCTTGATGTATTGTGCTTAGACGATGGGCTATGGTGATCACAGTGCGTCCACGGATAAGTTTTTCCAGCGCCGTCTGCACTAGCTGCTCCGACACGGCATCCAGTGCACTTGTCGCCTCATCCAGGATGAGTAAGGTGGGATTCTGTAACAAAGAGCATGATTAGAATATAAATATGTAGAAATATCTAGATCTACCTTAATCAGCGCCCTGGCTATGGCCACACGTTGCTTTTGTCCGCCACTCAAAAGGATTCCCCTTTGACCCACAATGGTTTCAAGGCCATCGGGTAGCTGGTTGACAAATTCGGACACATTTGAGTCGTTGACCACCTGCTGGAGTTCTTGCTCATCGGGTACCTTGCCCGGCTGCAGTCCGTACAGAATGTTCGAGCGTATGGAGCCAGAGAAGAGCACCGGCTCCTGGCTAACAGCGCTCACATGCTGGCGCAACCAATGTGGATTCAATTTTCGCAAGTCGACACCATCTAAGTAGACGGCGCCCTGCTGCGGATCATAAAGACGCAACAGGAGCATGGCCAACGTTGATTTACCCGACCCAGATCGCCCCACCAGGGCGGTCGTCTGGTTTGGCTCTAGTTTGAGCGAGAAGTTCGATAGCACTGCGCACTCTTTGCGCGACGGATAGGCAAAGGTAATATTGTTAAAATCAACTTCGCCAATTATCTTGCTCGTTGGGATAATGCCCTTGTCGATGGGCATGGCAAACTTCCTGTCCATGATCTCCCAAAGGCGCTGCGAGGCGCCAATCCCCTTGTTCAGTTGGCTGTAAAAGTTGGACAGGCCGTTCATGGCGATAGCTGTGTAGCCGGCATACAGCATGAACGAGGTCATGGCGCCAATGGTGAGTTCCTCGTTGAGCACCAAAGTGCCGCCATAGTAGAGCACCGATATGATGACCGCATTGCCCGAGAAGCCGGTCTGAATATATGGAGGAAAACTGTGATTTAAGTTCCATTAGAGTTGCCTCTCAGCTAGCTCACCAGGCCAAAAAAAATGGATCTAGCCTTAGTCTCCTTGTAGCCAATTTCGATGGCTTCGTCCAGCTTCTTGTCGTACTCCTCGCACTCGTTGTGCTCGCGACCGAAGATCTTGACAGTGCGCACGTTGCCGAACCGCTCCTCGGCATGCTTCATCACCTCCGCGAATTTGTCCATCTCGGTTTTGGTTATGCGTCGCACATAGCGTCCATAGATGATGGCAATCCCAGCCAGAGCGGGCACAACCAATGCGCTGACAAGCGCCAGCTTGGCCGACGTATAGACCTAAGAGTGAGCGAGAGAGAGAGAGATAGTATGTCGATTACACTAGAGTTACGAGATTGATGAACGCATTGGACGCACCATCATGGCGGTGCCTACACCAATCATGGCCAGCGAGCGCACGCCATCGGATATGTTCTGACTGAGCGAGGTGCCCACAAAGTATGTGTCGTTGCTCAAGCGGTTGATAAGCTCGCCGGAGCCGCGCGTATCGAACCAGGATACCTCCTGCATGAGCACCGATCGATATAGATTGGAGCGCAGTCTGCGCACAATACGCAATGCTGTGCGGAGTAAAGCGGAGAAAGTTTGAATAGAGAGTGTGAGACAGAGAGAGCAAATCGAATTGTGCTGCGGGCTCACTTGCGGTGCCAAACAAATAGACGCGCGAGAAGTTGGCCAGGCCGCCAATGATGAAGACGACCAGCAGCATCTTGGAGTAGTCTCGCAAACTGGTTACGGCCGATTCATCCATGCCATCCTTGTTGAACACTATGTCAATGACCTTGCCCAGGAAGTAGGGTACGCTCATGGTGATGGCTGAGGAGATGACCAAACAGCCAAGACCCACTGCAACGAAAGAAGCCTAATTGTATGAGCAAGACATATTGGCATTGATCGATTGGTGGCAAGTCATACTTAGGAGCACCCACTTCTCTTCCTTCATCATATGGAGGAGACGTGAGAGGTCGAATTTGGTGGTCTTAAGGAAGCTGCCCACTTTCGGCACGGCCAGCTTGACTTCTTTGCTGCTCATGCATCGACGTACGTTGAGCAGACGTGCCGTCCATCTGGATGCGCGAGCACCTGCACCACCACAGGCACCTGTCGATAAGGGCGAGGAGGGGGAGCCAAGCAGCTGTCGCCCAGCAGGCGGTCGAATATTATACAGATGATGGTGATGATGATGCTGTCGCCTCAGTAGATAGTTATGTATGCTAGACGAATTAATTGGAAATCTAGGGACGGCCGAGGGTATTTGGGTAATTCGTAATGTTGAGCACATGTGCTTCACCCTTGTGCAATTCAGCAACATTGTGATTTTATGCAATATTTTTCTATTTTATAGAACAGGCATTCATATAATAAGCTATGACTTTGATATTACACCACCATTCATTTATATGCTATCATATTATGTATAAAAATATAATGAGAAATTTTGACCCCCACACAAATGGTCCGCAAACACAACTAAAACAGCTGATGGAATGCATAATAACAGCTGAAAGGTAACACATAGCTATCGATGATATCGATGGAAGTTTGTGACGTCACACTAAGTGGAAAGCTCAAGCAGAATGTTTTCAAACAGATGTACTTCTTATATATTTTCCATTACAATAACATCACATATATGTAATATATATATGCTAATTATTTATATATTATATAAAGCGATCAACATGTACACTAATTGCCTTATTTGCATTACCTTCTTATTTATATTATTTTACATAGTTATCCAACACTTTTGCACAGTGCTAATCGATAACAACCAACAAGTGGTACACGTGCTGGTTGCTTTTTGTTATCGTAATTTGTATTTGCAACATGGAGATAGGCGAAGGTAAGGTGCACGTTTTGAATAAAAACTTATAATGATTAAATAAATCATCGCAGAGCTACGAATATGGCTCGACGACAAGAGCAAAACGTATGCAGCGCGCTTGGAATTCGCTATTAAAGTTTGGCAATCCCTGGATTTTGTGTATATAAACAAACACGAAGTCGTTTGCAAATGGCTCGCGGATACACTCGTCGAGGAGGTGGAAATGCCCGTGGAGCAGCTGCAGCAACTGTTCCGCCTGCGTGCTCAGCCAGGCCTGGTGACCGTTGCCACAAAATCGGCGCTCATTGAGGCAGTGCTGAAACGCGTCGATGAGGCACCTCCAGCCCAGGCAAAGGGGTATCCACAGTTGCTGCAATACCTAATCAATTTCGAGCTGGTACAGGATGCACTGCGTGCCGACTATAATCTGGTCATGCGAAGCTATGGCATACTCTTTAGCTGCTACGAACGACTGCTGCTGATTGAGAACGAAGATGAGCCAAAGCCACGACATGCGGACTTCATGCTGCCTCTACTGCAGCAGCTACGTGACTATGCGCAGCGTGCCCAGAACAACACTCGTCTGCTGAAGGCCTACATGAATGGCGCACAGCATCCTCTTTGCCAGCTCCTGCTGGAGCTGCGAAAGCACGGATTCTGCTGCTTCGAGCAGCTGGCCGCACTGGAGATGCATATGACGCAACATCTGCGTATAAGTGTTGCAATAAGGCTGATGGCCAAGCAGCCGTTGCATGTCCAACTGTTAACATTGGAGTGTGCACTGGTGAACCACCGCTACGACACGGACAGCCTATTCAAGGTGATAAATCACGCCTTGGTATATAAAATACCACAAAAGACGGAACGTGGTAAGCGCGATAGGAGTAAACCCTTGGCCAAGGCCACGCCCAAGGATCGCTTCATAGGCTTAGTGCTGACCACTCATGCACTGGAGGCACTGCGTCGCCACAACATTCAGCTCAACTTTCCCGACAAGCTGAAGAAAACGGGCATCGCCTACATGGCCAATGTGCTGTGTGGCATTGTACGCATCAACCGGGAGCGGCATCTGGGCAGAGTGCTGCAGATGCTCTGTGCAGCGCTGCGGCTCAATCCGATGCTGGTGGAGCCGCATGTCTATCAGTTGACCATTTGGATGATGTGCGCCGTCAAGCGTAACGAAGTGGAACTGCAGCTGTACTCCGAGTATCTCGTCCTGTTGTTGGACATGTGCCGGCGCCTGAGTCGCACTGAACGCTTCATTATGCTCCTGCTGAAGTCACTGCGCGAATGGCTGCACAAATACGAGCTGCCCAACTTTGAGACTGGCAAGCGCATTCGCCTGGAGTCGGAGCAGAAGCCGGAGCCAGAGCAGGAGTCGGAGCAGAAGGCAGAGCCAGAGCAGGAGTCGGAGCAGGACCCGGACTCTGAGCCGAAGCAGATAACCGAGGAGGAAGTGGAACAGCTAATGAATGGCTATGTGCAGCTATTACTGAAATTGAATTCCACTTCCAGTTGCCAATCAAATGCAATTAGCTATAGCACGGATGCCTTGGCCCAGACCTGGCCGGGATCAACGGCTGGCGCCGCCTTCATCCGGCTGGTCAGCCAGCTGATGTCCAAGCCCTCGATCGTCATCTGGAAGAGTCTGCTGCACAGCTTTGCCGAGCTGCTGGAGCCCGACTCGTCGGCCGTCCTGCCGTGCAATCTCAACTTTGCCATCGAGCTGCAGGCGACGCTGCTCTCGCAATATTTGCTCGGCACACGGCTGGCGGAGCACTTACAGCAGCATCATGTCGAGCTGGAGCAGCAGCGCAAGCACACGATGCAGGTGCTGCAGCGGTTCGGGCAGTACTTGCTCTCGCTGGAGCACAACCGGCGCACCATGAATGTCTTCCTGGAGTGCGTGGAGCGGGCGAATAACTTCGATCTGCTCTTGGCCTACTACTGGCCGGATGGCTTGGAGCGGCCGCAGTCGACTCCGGCGCTGCCACAACTGCAGCGCTTTCTCTCCAGCGACGAGTGGGAGCTGATCCATCAGCGCGTGCACAACTTTGGCAAATCTCTGTGCCGCCAGCGCTTGCAGCGGCTCGAACTGCAGCTCACACTGTCCGGCTGGCTGCTTCTGCCCGATCAGCGGCTGGCGCCGTGTCCGGATGCGCTAGTGGAGCTGCTCCCACAGCAGCTCTTTGGCCACTTGACACGTGCCCAGAAGGAAATGCGAGTGCAGCACCAGCAGCAGAAGCAACAGTTGCCCAATCTTCTGGAGGATGCCGAGTGCGTGGAGCTGTTGACCATGCAGCTGCTGCAGCAGTTCGTGGACAGCTTGAAGCTGGCCAAGATCAAGGGCTGTCTGCTGGCCAAACAGATGCCCCAAGCGACAGATGAAGCAGCCCTGGCCACAACGCTGCGCGATAGCTGTGAGAGCACAAAGCAGCCAGCGCTGCCCGCTGAATCCACACAGGAATTAATTGATGCACTGCAGCAATTGCCACTGGCCCAGCTGCAAAGCAGCCTCAAGCTCCGGCTCTGGCTGCTGCTCTTCACGCTCTACCAAGACGTGCGACGCGCCCAACTACTGCAGCTGTCCAACCAGCTGCTCGAACAGCTCATAGGTAAATCTACCAGATAGTCCTGATTCATATATTCTGACAAGCCAACTCCATGTTCTTCTAGATCTTTTGCACTTTGGTCAACCTTTGCCTCTGTGTAGCCATTTTCCGCAGCTGGCGCAGCTCCTGCAGCTGGTGCCGCTCAACATGGAAGCGGATGACGCTGCGGCTGCGGCTGGGAATGGCACTGGGACTGAGGCTGAGGCTGAGGCCAATGCCACCGCCTGGCGCTTCTATGAGATGTTCTTTGCTCGCTGCATACGTCGCCTGACGCCTGGCAGTGATATCTTCTTGGCCAGCAGCGCAGCGGTCTTCCGCGAGCAGCTGCCACAGCTGTCAGCGTCGCACTGCCGCCTCCTGCTGCTCGCCATCGAGACCCTGGCCAGCGGCACAGGCATGCAGGCGCGACGCATGCAGCGTCACCTGCAGCCGCTGCTCGAGATCTATGGCCAGTTGGTCAGTCACAAGTTTCGCTCGCAGAAAAAGTCACCCGCCATCTACAAGGAGTTCGTGCAGCAGACACTCAGTGGCTATGCCATCTACCTGAGCAGCTGCATCAATCGTGCGGCCAAGCAGCAAAAGGAGAACGTCGACGCGGCCGAGCAACAGAAGGAGAACGTCAAGGAGGCCAAGCAGCAGAAGGAGAACGTCAAGGAGACCAAGCAGCAGAAGGAGAACGTCAAGGAGCCCAAGCAGGAGCCGCAGCAGCCGGCTACTCTGCCAGCCATCGATGAGAACTTTAGGCGCATTTGCAAAATCTACATAGGACATTCGGTAAGCTGAAGGAGAGATTAACTCAACAACTTGACCCTATATGGAAGTCTGTTTATTTATTCATGCATATATGCCAAATGCAGTCCGAGTCTGACTTCTTCGTTAATCGATTCCATTTGTCTCATCGATAATAATCGATTATTTAAGTTGGTTATTTGAGTTTGAGTTTAAGTTTAGTATTGCCAATTCTAGAGGCTTCAGATTTACTATATACGTTTTACTAATGCATAAACACAATCCAATTTCGGAGATATCTCCCACAATTCTTTTATAAAAGTAGAGTGTTACGCTAGTAAATACATATATCTATGCAATCTAATTATGCTCTCAACATTTCAATCCGAAAGTCCTAAGCATTCGAATAATTGCCGTTAGTTGGCCTTAGTTAGGTTAGGTTCGCATATGCCCAATGGGAAATTATATTCCAAAGGAATATGTGTCCGAATTATGACCAAGATTTGATAGCATCCACTGTAATAGCCACAAGAAACTTCTTTGTCTTAACCTCCATCCCTCATCCCTTGTTTTAGCTGAATTATCGCAATGCCCATGCCATACGCTTGCTGAATGTGGCCTTGACGCACCGGCAGCTGCTGCATTTGGACCAGGACGAGATTGAGTTTGTGCTGGATAGCTATTGGCGGCAATTGAATAAGGATATTGCCGCCAGCTCAGCGCTGGACATGGCCAGCATTGAGCCCGCCGTTAAGCTCATCATTGGCTACAAGACGAACGAGGATTTTCTGCTGTTGCTGCGAGGACTCAGCCAGCAGCTGGACGAGATGCAGCGACCAGAGACGCCGGCACAGCATACCAGCCTGCAAAACGTGCTCGTACTGATGACGCTCTTTGCCAAGTGCTCGCTGAGCAGCATCAAGGGAGCGGTAAGAAAATGCCTGCCTCTTCGGCTAGATCTTGGTTAATCTCCCCCTCCCTCTGCCTTGCACCGTTTAGATGCTCAATGAGCAGTTTGAGCTGATCAACGGCAATGTTTCGCTGCGTCTGCCAGCGCCCAGTGATGCCGCCTATTGCAACCATGTGCTGCGCCTGCTGGAGGCACAGAGCGCCTTGGCCAACAATCGCACCGTGCCGCTGACTGGCGAGACTCTGGACTCGATATTGGCCAGCATGCTGGACCTGAATATCAAACGTTTCATTCTAGACGGCGGCAGCTGGCTGGACTTTCGGCGTCTGCATGCAACGCTGTCGGAGAACTGTTTGCTTCTGCTGCGCCAGCATGCCACACTCATGTCGGATCGGGCCGCACAGCTGAGCGCCATCTGCCAGGATCTGGTGCAGTCGATTATCTGCTATCGCAGCGAACGCCAGCAGGCGCAGAGCCTGACGGACGACGAACTGGACGGGCTGGCCGAGCTGGGGCTGAAGCTGTCGACGCTCATGGCGGGCATCGCAGCCGGGCCGCTGGCCCTGGCCATGAAACGTGTGGCACCGTTTCTGCTCATCTTCACCATCAAGCAAATTATTGGCACCGAACGTCCCACGACGCTCTTCGAGAAGGTAGGCGGGCGACAGTTTGTTTCGAATGCGGTTTAATCTCTTCCTCTATTCCTGAACAGATCAAATTGCAAGTGGATCGATTTTGTCACGAGCTAATCTCCATCTGTGACCATCGCTCGGGTCACTTTATACTGCGCTCCAGCAGCGAGGCGGGCGCACGCATGTATCAGAGCCTCATCAAGGAGCATGACAAATACCACAAGTTCCGTGGCAAGGTTTAAGCTGGAGAGTGCTCCCACAGAGAGTTGATGCAAGGAGAGACTAGCATTTCCCGGCTCAAAGAAAGAGACAAATGATATGTGTATTATACTTCTATTTGCTTTCTCGTTTTTATTTTTAATTTTTTTGTTCTTACATGAATAAATGTGCTTAACCTCAAATATTTTACAACATTACTTTAACAACTTAATTTGATTATATGAGTGCGTGTAAAAGTGTGTGCATTAATGTTTATATCTCCCTCTCTCTCTCTCTCTCTCGCTATCTTCAGCTTCATGCATTCTTCGCAAGTGAGAGCGAGAGACAAATAGAATTTGCAACAGATTGTATTGATGTATGGATGCATTGACAGTCAGCATCATATAAATTAATCGTATTAATTTAAATCAATCAATCAGTTTTCCTTGTTTGTAGTTTGTGGTAGTTTAATTAAATTATTTATGCTAAGAGTATAAGCGTAGGTGTGTGCGCTAGCGCATAAGTACATATGTGTTAGTGTGTTAATGGGCATGTGTGTGTTTAGCTAGAACCTGCCAGAATTAATATTTTTTCATTTTTAGCTTAAGGCACCTTTAAAGTTTCTTCTCATAACACAGACGTTGGTGAGTTATTTTGATTTGTACTTAATTCTCATTTATAATGCTATTTGGTATACATTCAGATTTCTGTTAAATTGCACCAGCGACTGTGTGAGTGAGGGCTTGTGTGTGTGTGTGTATTGGTACACTTTACTTAGGCCACGAACATTTGGCAGACTTCGCACAGAGGATGCTCGGCTTCTTCGGGTCGATTGCCGCTGCATAATAAAATGGATTATACGAGAGATGGATGTAAGTGAAAATTGTTTTCTATCCAATAAGAAAACTAATGGGATGCTTACAACAGTGTGACACAGGTGTGGCATATGAACTGGCTGCATTCGACGCACGAATAACCGCATTCCTCGCACAAATCAAATGTACAATTGGCGCAAGTGCCGCGAATTAGGGTCGGCCGACGGCAGCATGTCGATAGACGTCGCTCCAGAGTCGGATTGACAGCATCGGGATTCATGTCACGCAGTATTATGTTGCCATCGCCAATCAGCTGATATTGCTCGCACAAATTTGCCGGCCTAACGGGAATCGATGCCGGCGTTGTAGTCTCTTCCTTTGTCTCATCTTTCTTCGCATCGATGTTAGCGGCTCCATTGAAAAGCATTTTCGTAGTTTTGTCTACAAAACATATTTATGCATGTGAATGCCTGTTAACATCTGTTGATATCTGCTCCCCCCGTGTATGTCTGTGACTGTGCGTCTACTCTTTAAGTAAACATTTTGTGTACTTACCATGAACTGCCTTCATTTTTTCCGGATCGCTCAAGTCGCTTATTTTCTCATTTACCCAAACTTTGGTTTGAGTTACATTATTGTTGCTCTCATCGTCCTCAGAGCGCATACGTTTCAATGGTTTGCCTTCCATTTTGTACTTTATTTTTCTTTATATTCTAGAAAAGTTTTCGGTTATTCTTTTGTTCAGCCGGATGCTTCTTTCCTTCAGAGCTACTGCAACTCGAAAGACAAGTTATTGAGAAGTGGTCAGCGGGCAGCTGTGATGCCAGTGCTGCATTATGCACTCGACCAGATGAAAGACAAAATAAGTGTTGGCTAACGCGCAAGCGTACATGCCTGCCTATCGACGTGTTGCGTGCGCGCGCTTTCTGCGCTATTTTGATTATTTTTGAAAGTGTGTTTATTCACTTTGGTCAGCGCAAGCGCACGCACACCCACACAATCTGATTAATTCGATTAGAAATTATTGATTATACATACGTGTACATATATAGGTCAAATGATATTTATATTTATACACGCACTTGATTATATCCACAGTAAATCGGTTAGGCTGGATTGGCATCGGTTTGAATACAATATAATTTTGCTGTAGTTTTTATTTGTTTTGTTTTATTCGTGTGGGTAACTCAAAATTTACAAATCTAAATAAATGTGAAAAAAATCGAAATGACTGAAGGCTAAGCTATATATATATATAAATATATATATACTATATTCATATACATGAATATAAACAATTATAAGCTAGCCTACTATGATTTGAGTTAATTTACCTCATTGTGTTTTTGTGTGATTTCCAAATTCTTTTTTTTTTTTTTTTGGGTTTTTGTTTGTTTTTTCTTTTTTTTTTTTTTTTGTTGCTTTTGGGTTCCCTCTTTCAGTTGGGGATCCGTTTAGACCTGTCCAGTGACATTTCGTTTGTTGCCATTGCGGCCGCCTTTTACAAATTTGGCAACATTCACTTCGGTGTTGGGTTTCTTGAGGAACTCATTGGTTCCCTCAACCATGGTCACTGACTTGTGTTTGTTGTTCTTCTTCTTTATGAATATGTCCGATTTGGATGTGTATGGTGCTGTCCCATCACCAGCAGGATTGTTACTCTCCCTTTTAGCAGCCAAACGTTGCTCGGCAGCCGCTTCGCGTTTCTTGCGTACGATAGCTAGACGAGCAAGATCGGCACTGGCCTCGCTGGCTGTTTTCTGATTTGAATTGGAGCGTGGCTTCTCACGAGCACGCTCACGACGACGCTTCTCTAGCAATGGATCTTCAGTGGGTTTGCCCTTGTCATCGCCATTGAGGAGGGCCAATTTTTGGGACTTCTTAATCGGGCGATTCGGGTTCGATATCTCAATCAACCCCTCAACAGCTCCGCCCAGCTTGCGACCCTTGGTGGTGGCTTTGCCACTGGCGCCACTATTATTACTGTTCCCATTAGAACGGCCAGCCAGACTTCCAAATTCGGAGCTTTTATCGCTGCTGCTGTCTACCTCCTGGATGGAATCAATGCTGCTAACGCTAGTGTTTAACATCTTGAGCTGAGATGACATTATGCATACCTCCAGCTCATGTTCACGCTGAAGCTCCTCGACTGGTGTAAATTGACGGCTGCGGCCTTTATGATTTTGGTACTTTCCGCGTGGCATCTTATAGCTGTCGATTGAATTAGCTTACTTTTCGCGTTTCTTTGTTGCTCGTATAAAAACGTAATAGAAAAAAAGAAAAGGAAAAGAAATTTTTTATTTTTAAATTATTTGCAAAATTTTAGTTTTTTGAAAAATTAAAATTTGATCGACACGTTACAAGGCGAAATCCATTACAAGTGAAAACAAATGGAATAAATCGACCTGTCAAGCAAGGTGATGTTCATTTCAAAGCCAGTTCAGAATTTGGAAGAACTTTGCAACGTATTTATTATTATTTAAATTCGATAATATACAATCTGACGACTATCAATTATCGATAGGTATCCGATTTTAACTTTAACAGCATCAGCTGTTATGCTATCAATTTAATAACTGCTGGCCAAACAGGTATTATTATTATTATTATTTTTTTTTTTTTTTGCAAACATTTTAAGAAAATAGTCTATTTCAATATTTAAATATGCCACTGACCAGAGACCAGTGGCTATACGTAATTGAATTCTTAAATGACCACCTTTGTATAAAAACATACATACATGTATGTATGTAAATATGAATATGTCTTTATCTTTCAAAAGTGACAAATAAATAAAACAAATCATATTTTGGCTAAATTTCAATTTATTACAAAAAAAAAAAAAAACAGTAAAGTATTGTTCTTCTTTTTAGCAACAGCCCATTATCGAAGTGTGGCGATATATCGCGGGTCAATTGATGTTAACAGAAGCCGGTAACGGTTAACAGCACCGACTAGCCGAATGATATTCGATGGTCATGTTAATAGTAAGGCGGCGCACGTTAACAGAGGAGCACTCCACGCTTTTAACAGAGCCGACTCGCCATTCTGAATAAAGAGAAGAAAAAAAAAACTATCGTAAATCGACTGTGCCGTGGTGCAGAATTATATTGTGAAATTCAATTTCCATAACATTTGGTGCATTGAGGACGCACCTCTGACAATCCATCACAAATTCCACGTACAGTATACACAGAGACACGCATGCAACAGGTAGCCAAAACGACGATCGCACATCGTGATATTTGCATCAACAGCTGACGCAGACAATTAAAGAACCCAGCAACAATAGAAGCCGCACCAGCGGAACGCAACGCAATTTAATTAGCTCCAGAAGTGTTTCGCAAACAATCAACAAACGAAAATATGTCGGTGGACGAAAACACGCCCGTGTTGCGCAGCTGCATCAAATTGCCGCTGAAAAAGGAGGAGCTGATCGAGGTGATAGCCAAGGCCAAGGATTATGCGATCATGCACGGCGCCGCAATGCGTTCCAAAACTAGTTTCAGTCCAGACTCCCTAAACGTGAGTGTCTCTATACAATGTCTATAACACTCACTACAGCTTAAGGAATCCTCTCTCTCTCTCTTGATGTCCTTTTAGTTTGCGCCCTTTGTGCTGGTGCCGTCGTCCTTTCCGCGCAAGGAATTTGAGAAGGCAATCGCATTGCAGCCGATAATCAATAGATTAATGCACAATGTTGCGCACGATGAAGAGTTTATTACGACGACACTGGCGGAGACAATCAAAGTGGATGAGTTTACAGCAAATCTATTTAATATCTATCGCAAGGTGTTAGCCCTTGGCTTTACCCAGGTGAGACATCTTGTTCGTCATCAGGCACACCCACACCCCGCTCACTCACACTCACACCCATCACACCGACTCACTCACACACGTATACCCCTACACACCTAGCTCCAATCCCATGGTTAGCACCCCATTTATCCAAGCATATATCCATTGAGCTTTAGGGACTAGGCTGCTAGTGCAGGTATTCTGGGTGAACAGCTGACGTGATATCTGTCGCTTACTCTAACGCTCCACACCCCCAACAACCTACCACTCCACCCAGCACTCTTTCTATATATGTAAATGTCTGTTTCTGTTGCTCTTTACCTCATGTGTATTCCATTATCTTATCGCCATATCATAAATCCCATAGCCAATGTAGCCAAATCGGCTCAACAGCTAATCTCAAGCGTTGCCACATGATTTATGCGCACATCCTGGACAACTTGAGTACATGGCATCGCTGCTGCTGCTGTTGCTGCTGTTGCTGCCGCTGCTACTACTACTATTGCTGTTTATCAACATTGATAACTGCTCATAAAAAGAAAAGAATACGATTATAATTTCTTCTAAAATTGATTAGATCCTTCTTTACTTTCTTTTCGTTTTCTCTCCCCCCTCTCTATGTGTCTCTCTCTTTTTCTTTTTTTTTGTGGTGCTGCTCCTAATGTTTGCGTTGTTGTTGTTATTGTTGTTGTCGCTGTTGATATGCCCAGCTTTACGTTTATCTATCTATCCACAAAAAAAAAAAAAAAAAAAAAAAAAATTTACTCACGCATTTTTTTGAAATTTTCTGCTTTCCTTTCCGAAAAAAAAAAAAAACAAAAAAATGAAAATGAAAACCAATGAATATCAAAACCCAATGAAATCTAACAAATTGCGCATAAATCAAAACTCGAATCGCTCCGAACAACCGATTCCGCAAATCCGAAAATCCAACCGAAATATCACAAACGAATGGTGTGTGTTGCTCGTTTTGATCGTAATCATTATCGTATTTCGTATACCGATCTACACACATTTGAAACACTTATACTCACACACGCACACACGCACACGCACACCCACACGCATACGCACACACACTCACATGCGCGCATTTCCATTCGCCACCAAAGCGCATTTCATTGGGCATGCTGCGCAGCGATCTGATGCTGGAGTCCCGCTGTCCGGAGTTGTCGCCCCTGTTGGAGAGGAGCGCAAGCGTCGGCGCTGGCGCTGGCAATGATGCGAAGGAGGGGCAGGAGCAGGAGAAGCGAATGGCGGACGCGAAGGCGAGCACGAAGGCGGGAAAGGCAAATCCAACTGCCAAGCCGGGCATTCAGCGCAGCGCTAGCTCCTCATCGGCCTATTGCTGCTGGAAACAAGTTGAGATCAATACGATAGCATCGGGTTTTGGCCATTTGGGACCAGCAAGTAAAACCATACAAAGGTGCTGTCTGTCTCTCTCTCTCTCTCTCTCTCTGTCTCTCTCTCATGATCTTTGCTCTCTACCTATATAAATCTCTCTCTCTCTCTCTCTCTCTCTATCATATATACACTTGCATTGCCTTGTATATGCCGAAGCCTAACCAAAGCCATCCACACACACACAAATATATATACACACACACATATAATCTTACACGCACAAACACACACACACAGACGACAAAGTAACCTAAAACAGTTTGCATTGACTAAGTTAAACTCTTATACAAATCGTTACTGAATACCCTGTAGGAAAAAAGCTTATTATGAGAGTCGAACTTCTATGCAGGCCGTACCTGTAAAATACCCTGTAGGAAAATATAAGTTGTCAGGAAGTATTGCAAATGTCATGAAAGTCGTAATATATTTTGTCCGATATTTTGAATTACATATACTCTACCATAAATACATATGTGCGTATGTAGAGCCCTTGGTCCGTTCTAGAACGTTACATTTTAATATTTATTGCCGTTAGGCTTTTAATCGCGAGATAGTAGAAACTAGAAGGTCTACAAATAGCCAAATTGCTGATTATTTAACCAGCAACAGTATTTTAAATGCTGTACTTGTTTTTTTTTTTAATTGAATACTTAGTAAAACCGACAGCTGAATCAGAATTGGGTATTATAAGGGTATGGTTTAGGTTACAATAAAAAAAAACAATAACTCTGCATGCTTACAGTTACTTTATTTATATATGTATGTACATGCATGTAATGCAAACAGCATGTATGTATGTATGTGTGTGTGTGTTGTCGTTGTTTTGAATTGTATGTGTGTGCGTATGTGTGTAATGTTTTATCCTGGCTATTTTCAATATTATGTCCATTTGATTCATGTACAGCTAATTATTATTTTCTTATTTAATATTTGCTTTATTTGATCAATTTATATTTATGCCTTATCTACATATATACAAATATATGTGTATGTATATATACATGTATATCTATATATTTAAATGTTTATTTTCGAGTCCTTGAAATGTTATCTGTAGTTGTTAGCTTGGTTTTTGAAAAAGATATTAAATATGCTCTGCCCTGCCCTGACCCGCTCTGTCCCCCCTTTAAATCGACCGGCGTCCAGTGCTCACAGCTGTCCGCTCACTCGTTCACTCCGCCTCAGCCCTGTACATCCTCGTCTCGCCTTGCCTTGCCTTGCTTTGCCTGTTGAGCTTGCAATGCTTTTCTCTTATACTTAACCTAACAGCTCTTCTACACACACACACACGCATACATATATGTGCATACGTTTTAAGTACGTACAGTACCGAGCAAAAATGAGTGAATGTTTCACAACTTTGACTTTCATCACGCA